AAGAAACTCCCATTTTTATGAACCAAAACAGATTTGCAAATAAGATTTATTGGTGAAGAATAAATGTACACCAGAGAAAAAGGGAAGATTCCTCCTTTACCAAATGGAGTCTGTTTCTCAACTAATTCACTGAAGACCTGAGGAGTTTTTTTCCTTTCTTTGAAAGTTTTAAGGTTAGAGAAAAATTGGTTTTAGGTGTTATTGACTGTGAAATATAGTTCATAAAATTGTATCTACTGGTCTACAAAACCCAGCTGTTTAGCAATTTTTAAGACATGTTAATAGAAATGAAGGGCAGGACACCACAGACAGCAAGAAAAGTAGAAGGTATAATATGAATTGTAATGCATTCTGCTGACGTATATAATAAATTAGAATTAAAAAATAATAAAAAAGGAAGATATAAACAAAGGAAGAGTGTGTCTTTGATTCTACAAGCACAGAACGTGTCTGCTGGGAGAAAGCAAAAGGCAATGCTGCGCTCTTGGGGGCCAATCTTGGGGGAAGTCACTGAGGGAGACTGTTTACTATGTACCCTTTTGTGTGCAAAGCCACCCGAATACATTACAAAATGTCATTTTAAAACTTAAGTATTTCTAAATATAAATCTATTGTTTAATGAAATCGTAAGTCATTAGGGTTTCTATAGAGCAACCCTAAAGAAAGGTTCTTAATCTGGTGTCCACAGAATATTCCCATTACACAGGAGTCCAAGAATACAATTCAAGAGGTCTATGAAATTTGATGAAAAATAAATCATAACTTTATTTTTACCAACTTGCAAGTGGAACTGAGCCTTATCAATACTGGCAATAAGCAAGAAGTAGCAGCAGGATCTCTGAGTGGACAGCTGGAATTACTCTAGCACCCTGGATAACGCTCTGTCGGCACAGTGACACTTGCCTCATGTCTGCCCGTTTCCCACAGCCTCACCCAGTACAGTCCTGGCTCCAGGAACTCAGACTCAAATTTTGGAATCAGAAAACATATTAATTTCTAAACAGGGCTCCTTAAGGCGATTTGGGAAGCAAGAAATGAGCCAAACTCCCTCTAGAACTGTTCACAAAGAAAGGAGATTAGGAATCAGCCACCAAAACCCTGAGGAAAGAGAAAGGCACACTGATGACTCTGATCCCTGCTGAGTGCCTCCCTGCAGGAACTTTGCATTATCTTATTCAAACTCCACAACAACCCTAATATCAATGAGGAAACTGAGGTACAGAGAGGTACGAGGACTCAACCCAGATCAAGTACTTTCCACCCAGACCTGCCTTCTCCACGGCTCACCTCTCAACCACAGGTTGAGGTGCAAAGGAGGAAGGAAGAGCTGGCCACTGACCTGGAGGCTAACTCAACATCTGACAAACTGGTTACATTCCCAACCAATACTCAAGTCAGCTCTTTAAAGAGGTATGATCAGCCCCACTTTCCACATGAAGGTACTGAGGACAGAGACATAACTGGTGCCTTAGCAGGACCTGGAACCCAGGTGTGGCTGGCTAAGAGCCCAAGCTCCTTCTTCTTTACCCTGGGGATTTTAAAAGTTGGCCTCATATTGCTCGGCTGGTGGGTGACAAGCTGGCCAACTTCACTAGAGGGTTTCCTATCCTCGCCATCAGAATGGCAACGCCAAGAGAGATATGCACATGTGGGCCAAGTCTTGTAAGCAGAGTTCCTCTCTTCAGCACTACCTGTAATGAGAAAAGACTAGAAACTGGTGGGATATTTCATAATAAATGGGGTCCCCACCAAGGGGTGGAAGGTAAGGAGGGAGAGTGAAATGCTAGGAAGCAATACTGACCAAATTATATTGTTATATTGGGTACATATAAAAACGTGTAATAACAAATCCCATCAATTTGTACACCTATTTGAACACAATAAAAAATGTAGAAAAAGAAAAAGAAACAGGGGTCCCTGAACACTGATCTAAAAACTAATGAATCCAAGACCCGAATAACTTTTCTACTGTTGGTCTCCCGCACTTCATCCAGGCTCTTCCCTCTGCAAAAAGTAGGAAAGAAAAAGAATTCACAGTCCAAGAAAGGACAGATACATGCAGGGGGAGAAATGAAGAAATGAACAAATAAGCCAATCAATGAACTCAACCAAAACCTCTTAATTCCCAGCTAAGGACTCAGTGTCTGGCATTAAACACCACTTATTCACTGATGTTGACCTTGTTTGTCTCAATTCCTGCTAACCAATGCTTTCTGTCACACCCCATTCTCCAGCACCACATCTTCCAGCCAAATTCCTATAGGAACTCAGCTCCTGCCTGCACACCTGGTAGATATACTCCCTCTTCACAGGGGCCCTGCCCCATCCTGGTGCTTCTGCCGCCCCCCCCCCACTTTGTCACTTAGCTGGCAACAAACACCTCAAAGCAGATTCAACCCACTGTCCACATGCTCTGTTCCTGCACCTACAGGATCCCACAGCATCCCTTGGAACTTCCGGACATTTCTCTAGCCCATCAACTCTCCTGCTCACCCACACACCTGCTTTCCCAGTTGGCAACTCCCCCTCTACCCTCATTCAGCTGAGAAAATGGAAGCAGCCAGGAGAAAGGCAAGCTTCCACACCACAAGCCACCTACACAACTACAACCGAGTTGGCTCTGGCTGCCTGCCACCAGCAGTTATTGGGGGAAAATAGCAGCTCTGTCCAAGATCAATCATCAAATTCTGGCAACAACTTGAGTGTCCTTTGGGTAAAAGATGACTGGTATGTATGTTAGAAAAGGCTCTTTCCTGCCTGCAGAGCAGTATTCCACTGTCGGTGTACTGAAGTTCCTTTATAGCACTGAGCCAGCCATAAAAAGCAACGAACTCTGGTTACACCTCAGCGATAAGACAAAGCAGTGGTTGCTGGGGGAAGAATGCACTGCAAAAGGGGTGCAAGGCAATTTTTAGGGGTAAAAGAACTGAAAGTTGATCATGGTAGTTACATGACTCCACTCCTACTTCAAAATTCACAGCAAAATATTCACACCAACGTGTACAATTTACTGTATGTAATACTTTTAAAGACATTTTTTAAAACCCTGGAGTTTCTGCTAACTAATGCTTTCTATCACACCCCAAATTCGTGTACTAACGAGTCTCATTGGCTGTACCTCCAAAGGACAAACCCAATCAACCATGGCTGGCCACTCCACTAAGTCTCTCCTCCCATCTCACTTAGCATAAGCTCCCAAGTTCATTCAGCCAGTCAGCGGGGAACCGGATCCCCTCCCTACCTCCGGCTTAGGGGCTCCCAAGCCTCAACTCCTCGGGTCCTTTGCTGCAACCAAGCTGGCTGCGCACTGCTCCTCAGAATCACCCACAGCTCCTACCCCAAGACTAGACTGTCCTAGCTTCAGGAAGCTCTGTCCGTATAAGCCACCTCCTCCCGGTGGCCTTCAGTGACTGCCCGGCCAAGGAATAGCCACCCCCCCACACAGTGACATTCCCGCACTTTAATCACAGTGGGAAGCTGCAGCCCCAGGGCTCATGGGGAATAAGACAAGGGAATCAAGGAGCCCTTTCTTACATTTGACCTTCCCAAACTTCCCTCAAGCCCTCCTGCTTCTCAGGTAGGCAGAAATTGGGGTGGAAGGCAAGAAGTGGCCCTAATCCCATTTTCCAGTTCCCGCTTCGCTAACTGACGCCCTCTCGCCCCGGAGCTTTGCTTTTCCAGATGCCAGGCCCGCTCTCCAAATGTCCCTCTTCCTTTGCCAACTCCTTGCCCTCGCCCCTCCGCGAGTCCCGGTTCCCTCCCCAGGCTCTCCGCCAGGGCAACGGCGAGCCCCGACTCCCTGCGCTCCGGGGCCCCGCCTCTGCGGCCCACCTGTTCCAGGCCCGCTTCCTCCTCCGCCCGGGCCCAGGTACACACAGGCCAGCCCTGGAACCCATTCAGCGGGCCCGAGGCCTCCACCTGGACCTCACCCTTATTCTCCCGCCTCCCCATCCCCGCCGCGCGCGTCTCGCGAACGCCGCGCGCCGAGCCAGCCGCCGGGCCTATCCCCGACCCGCAGCCCAGGGCCTCCAGGCGGCCCCGCCTCCCCGGCTCTTCCCACTGACCACGCCCGCGCGAGCCCTTCCCAGTCCCCGCCCCTAGGCAGACTCAGGGGCGCCCAGCCGGCCGGGTCCTCATCCCCAGTCCACGCCACCTGCCCCTCTCCTGCCGGCGACCGGTAGCCTGCTGCCGGCGCGCTCCCTTCTCCACTGCGCTCCCGGCCGCCTCAGCGTCCCCGCACCCGCTCCTTGGCCTGCCACCCCAACCCGACGAAGCCATGGGTCCGGAGGTGCGGCACGCTCGTCGCCCCAGCCCCAGCCCCAACGCAGTGGCCCCACTTGCCTCGCGCCGCTCCGCGCGCCGCTCCCCCGGACGCCACGCTCAGCTCGGCGCCGCGTACCCTACAGTCCCAAGTTCGCGCCACGGAATTCGCGCGCAGAACTCGGCGGGCGGGGCGGGGCGGGGCCGTGGGGGCGGGGCCTGGGTGCTGCCGGCGCCGCTGGCGCAGCACGGAGGACGCCGGGAGTCGTAGTCTCATCGTGAGGCAGCCTGGAAAGGAGGGTGAAGCAGGGCAAGCCCTCGCGCACAGCATGCTGGGAAGCGGCCCGAGCCAGCCCGAGCCTGCCCTCTCCTGAATGAGCGGGTGTGGCTGCAGGCCCCGGGGGTGACTGGCGGGAAAAGGGGATTTTCCTTTCCGAGGAAGCCGCCGCGCCGGGGACGGCGGGAAGAGAGGCGAGAGGCCGCGCGGGGCATCCCGGGAGCGAGGGCCGGGCCGGGCTTCGGCGCGGGGCATTGTGGGAGGTGGACGCCGCTCAGGGTTGGGTAGGTGAGTTGGGGGGGCGGGAAGGGTGCACATCTGGGGGAGCCGAGAAGCGCCGCTGGGAGAGACGGCGGGGCGGGAGGGGCCGCGGCGAGCGGGACTAGGAGCGCTTGGGGAGGCGGGAGAAGGCTGGAGGGAGGTGTAGGAGGGAGGGGAAGACGCCGGGCGTGGGGGGAGCATCTGGGGTAAAGAGGACCAGGAGCCCTGTCTTGAAACCAGAAGCACATTGTAAAGGACAGTGGCTCTAGCTGGGAGGAAGGGGCCGCAACTTGACCTGTAGGGCATACATCTTAGGAGGAGGTGCACCACAGATGAATATTGGTGATACCTCAGAGTTGGATTGTCCACAAGTGGGCCACACACCTGTAGGCAAAGGGTCCGAGAGTGAACGTGGGGAGCACATCTGGACATGAGAGCATCTCTGGGAAGCAGCAGCCACAGCTGAATGTGTTGATTCATAGGGTCACATCTGGGGGAAAGCCAACTGCTGTATATGGGAGATCTATCTGGGGAGGAGGGAGCCACAGGTGCATGAAGAATATGCCTGAGGATGAGAGGTCCGTGCTTGGATATGGGAAGCACATCTGGAGATGGAGCATCTGCAGACAGGGGCATGGATAGCCAAGTGTAGGCACCTGAAAAGGGGAGTTGCAGATGAATGGGACACTCAGATTATTGCCAAGGGTAGGAGATATATGCCAAGGGAAAGAAACCTTGTCTGAAGTTCAGAAAATAAGGAGTCATCTGCAGTTGAGCTTAAGGGCCATATTGGGAGAAGTAGCCCAACTGAACCTTACCTCAGTTAGAATCAGTTCCAGTGAGCCAGGGGGAAATGGGTTAAGGAGAGAAGAAAGATGGGGTGGAGATTCGTAACTAGAGAAAAAAATCTTGGTTCCAGCTGGGGTCCCTACAAGTAGAGGTACCATCACAGATGGGGGAGGTAGGCTAAGGATATGAGATACCTTGGGTGGGGATGGTTCTGATGTATAGCACTACTCCCCCTCTCCACTCAGGGCCCCAGGATGGAACTGCTGGAGCCCCAACCCAGCACAGCTGCCGGGAAGGAAGAGCAGGAGCTGTTGGAGCGAGCCTTCTTCTCCTGGGCTGAGTTCAGCCGCTTCTTCGACAAATGGTGCCAGCAGCGGCTGGTCGTCTTTTCAGTCAAGAGCTCCACTCACGTGGCACGCAGCCCTTGGGCCAGCGCGCCCCCGCTGTACAGGCTCATCCACGTGCTCAAGTACAGCTACGTGCTACTGGTGTGCAAGGACATGCGCGCGGCCAACCAGCCCGCAGCATGGTGCGTGAGCCTGAGCTGCTGCTCCTCAGGGGGAGGGACACAAGGGGGGAAAGGGCAGGGCAGGGAGTCCCGCACCCAGACATGTGAGGGAGAGAGCCAGACTGAGGCTGCTAAATACCCAGAGACTGCGAGTCAAGGAAGGACGCTTAACTAAGATGGAGATGGAGCCCAATTTATAGACTTTAACAGAGGGAGGCACAACCAAAAGACAGGAAAAGAAAATTACAGAGACTTCAGAGCAAGCCAGAGAAAAAGAGCCATGTTTAGCACACAGAGAGAAAGAGTAAGAGACCAAATTGTAGGGAAAGCCACAAGACCTAAAGATTCCTCTGTCAAGAGAATACAATAGTTAAGTCGGGTGGGGGTGGGGGCATTGAGCAAAATCCCTGTCCTTCTAGAACTTTCAGACTGGATATGTAGATGTACATCAAGCTCACAGGTAGCTCCCTACAGCTGTGAAATATGACAAGGAGGGGCAGGAGAACAATCCTGGGAAGCCAGTTCTCATTGATCCACATTTAAATAGCTCATTTAACTCAAGCCGAGTTTCTAGATTCCCTTGGACAGGAAAGGGAGCTAACGGCCATCTCTTTTTTAGAGCTTTGGTGCTCAGGTTTGTGCCAGACCCTGTGGCTCTACTGCTTCATGTTCAGTGCTCTCACTTTCCTTATCCTACCTGCTTGGCCTCTGCAGGTGTGTGAGTTTGAGATCCTGGGTTGTGGAGCCATAGATAAGAGTGGTGTGCTTTAAGAACACAGGCTATGCCTCAGGCTGCCTGAGGCCAGCTCTGCTGCCTACTAGACAGGTCTTTGGGCAATGGACTTCACATCTCCATGCCTCAGTTTTCTCAGCCCTGAAATGGGGTTGTTATAGTATCTGCCTCTGAGGGCTGTGTGAGGATGCCGTGAGATTGTGCAGGAGAAGGGTACTGCCCCAGAACCCAGGGCAGCTGGTTAAATGATGGCCGTAACAAGAGTCAAGAGCGCAGAATGAACTGTTCCTCTGTGGAGGATGAGTCAGTGCTGTTGAACATGTGACTTCACCTTTCTGGCTCAGTTACCTCACTTGGAAGATGGAGGAGTCTGATAGGTTTGGTGAGGATCCAGTGAGCTGATGGATGTTAATTGTTCAGAAGCGCATCCAATACAAAAGAAGCACACCACAGCTTTCCTCGCCCACAGTTATTTAAACATTTGTTGTGGGTTTACTGTTCTCTAGTTGCCTCTTTATTCTAGAAGGAGAGACTCAGGCCAAAAGCAGAACAGTGTCCCTCCTGCTTAGTCCTCCCTACAGCTTGTGCCTAGAACCAAGAGATCTTTAGGGTGCTGGTACGTTCAACACATCACACGGCAGTCTAGAACATGGGCTTGCAAGAAGCTCAGGCCTAATCAGGAATCACTAACAGGGTCCAATTCAATGTAATATATTTATTGAGCACTTACTGTGTGCACACCTTTTGCTGGACATTTGGAACCCAGAGCTAGCTAGGCCCCTGAACTGCTCAGAATCTGATGGAGAAGACTAAATAAGTAAATGGAAGTAGTGGCCCATAGTTCCGAGAGTAAGATTGAATAGGACAAAAAGAATGTGGTCAACTTTACCTGAAAGCTTACTGGATGGTTTGTAGAAGGCTTTCTATAAGAGGTGACCAGTAATTGGAACCTTGAAGGACTGTGTTTCTATCTTTATGTATGCACAGTGTTTGACTTAATAAGTACACGGTGCTTAGTATGTACAGGTAATGTCCCAATGATTATCAGAGCCCTGGGCAGGACAGACAGGGCTATAGAGTAGGTGAGGACAGTGCCTTGGGTATGGGCCTGGTGACCAGTTGGACCATGGGGTGGGAAGCTCAAGAGGAGTCAGTGACTTGGACCTATCAATCAATTCTGAGCTCTTACACCTACCCCCAACTGCTTGAAGCAGGGTCTCTTCTGTGTCACGGTCCCTGAGCCAAGGTCTGAGACTCAAATAGTGTGAGAAGAGGCAAGAAGTGAGGAATGTCTTCAAGGCCTGGACGTGGCAGGGCTGAGTCCAGTGGCTGAGATTTTATCCTGGGGGTGCCAGGGAGCCCCAGAAAGCTGTGAGCAAGATCAGCCCTGGGTGTAGCAAAATCTCTCTGAGCCACGTGGTAGACAGAATGGAGGAGAGTTGGGAGGCTGGAAAGGAGCCTGCAGCCTGGGATCCAGGAAACAGGGGGTTTCTTCCTGGCCATTCCTCCCCTCTTTCCAAAAGTTGCACAGTGACCCCCCTCCAAGTCTCCCTGCTGCTCCAGCTGTCCAACTGCCAGTCCCTCTCCCTCACCTCTGGGCACTTCCCTCTCTAGGTCAGGATTGCTCAACCTTTCCCAACACCCTCCAGCCTTTGAAAACATAAAGATATTTAAAACCTGAAAGATCAAGAGTAAAAGGGGCAAGGAGAGCACAAATAAATCAAAAGTACTTTTAGAAGAAGAAAAAAAATGTATTGAAAATAGTGGCTACTGCTTTTCAAGTGTTGGTTAGGTACTCACCCCTTTTCTACATTATTTAACTCTGTCTGTGAGGCCGATATTATTTCAGCCACAATTTCCAGATGAGGAAACTCAGGCACAGAATGGTCAAAGGACTTTCCCAAGATAGCACAGCTGCTAAGAGGGAGAACCAGAATTGGGACTCCACTGTCTGACTGCAAAGTCATGCTTCTTATAGCCATGGTCTTCCCTTCCCTCTGTCTTTACTTCAGTCAGTATGTGAGTTGAACATACCAGCACCGTAAAGATCTGGTTCTAGGCACAAGCCTCTTTGTCCAAGAGAATTGTTTTGAGCACTTGCTAAGTGCAGGGTATATATCTTCAATGCTGAGGTTTTCTGAGGAGTGTACAGAACAGACAGCATCAATCAAACCATCACCTTGGTGTGTGATGGAATTTGTCCTAGACCAAAGATGGTCAGGAAGGGCTTCCTGGAGGAGGTAGTGCTGGTTCTACAGTTGAAGGATGAGTAAGAGTGGACTAGGTTGACAGAAGGGAGAAGGGTGTTTCATGAAGGAGGAAGCACTGATGGCTGTGGAAAAATCTGGATGGTCCAGAGAGGTTTCCGAGGAGTGATGGGCAGGTGGTAGTGATGGATGGTTTTGATGGGATGGGAGGTGCATATCCTAGGGAAGGTGTGACAAGTGTCTAGGTCACCAAGTGGATTCAGGCGTTCACTTATCATACCGTTGTCCCTGGGGATTGGTTCCAGGATACCAAAATCCTCAGCTGCTGAGTCCCTTATATTCAATTGCTTAGTATTTGCACATAACCTCTACATCTTCCCATCTACTTTAAATCGTAGGTGACACACCTAATATGTGTAAATGCTATGTAAATTGTTTTGTGTTGTTAAGGAATTGACCAAAAAAAAAAAAGATCTATATGTTCAGTACACAAGTTATTTTCAAATATTTTGATCCATGGTTGGGTGAATCTGAGGATGTGGAACCTGTGGATATGGAGGGCCAACTGTATACTTCCTGAGCACCTGCAGACGCAAGGTACTGATCTAGGTGCTGGGGACACAAAGATGGGTAAAACAGACAAAAGTTCCTGTCCATGTGGAGTTTGCATTTAGAGTGGGGGATGGGTAGCATTATCACCCCAACCCACAGGTGGAAGGAAATCACAACAATGGGGTGTTGGGGCACTTGTAGGTGGTTATGTGAGACTTCATGCAGTGGGTGCACTGTTTTCTGGCAAGATGGATGGCTTTATGAAGAGGTGGCCTCCCCTGAGGGAAGGCCTGTCCTAGGGGCTGAAACTCCTAGGCTGAGAGAGGCCAGAGCAGTTTCACAAAAGTGCATGAACTATTCCAGGAAAAAGGCCTAGGCAGAATCCTGTGAACTTGCCATTTGGTACATCAGAAACAGCTGCATGTGGGACCTGGTGGCACTGTAATCCCAGTGACTCAGGAGGCGGAGGCAGAAGGATCAAGTTGGAGGCCAGTCTGGGCAAAGTAAAGGCTGGGAGATGTAGCTCAGTGGCAGAGTGTCCCTGGGTTTATTCCCCAGCACTGCATAAACAAACCAACACAAAACTGCATGTTGGCAGTTTCTTTTGCTTTCACCTGAAGCCGCATGCTGAGTGGACATTTGTTTTATTTATAATGATTTACATGCTTTAAATTTTTCTCAATTTGCATTATTTTCTTGCTTTAAATTAGGCAAAAAGTTTCTAACTCTAGCCAGGCGTGGTGGCACACACCTGTAATCCCAGAGACTATGGAGGCTGACGCAGGAGGATCTGAGTTCAAAGCCAACTTCAGAAACTTAGCAAGACCTGTCTCTAAATAAAATATTTAAAAGGACTGGGGCTGTGGCTCAATGGATGAGGGCCCCTTGGTTCCATCCTCAGTACCAAAAAAAAAAAAAGTTTCTAATTCTAGATTTTCTTAAACTGTCATGTAAGAGGAAAGGGGGGTGTCAAAGATCCCCTTTTGGTTTAACAAGAAAATTCTTGAGTATTTATCCTGGTGGTCCTGATGGGGGGTCCCTTTCTCAGGAGCACATGGAGAAAATGTTTGATCATTCTCCAGGGGGCACTACTGCCTCACCAGGAGCCAGGGCTTCTTCACTACTGGCTGGGCCTTGGAATGTTACCAAGGTCAACCAAGTAGGAGGCCTTGGGGCCAAGCCCAGCCTGTGACCCACTGTTATAATTAAAGCTTTTTGGGGACACAGCCACATCCATTCATTTGCACATTGCCTATGGCATGTGTGTGTAGAAGTTTATTATGTGGCCCTCTGTAGAAAGAGTTTCCTCCACAAACCTGAAACCTCCTGCCAACAATGCTGATGTCACACCCTCGCATGGAGAAGCACTGGCCCTTCCCCCACCTTCAAGGAAGCAGATGCCAACATGAACATTACCAGGGAGATGCATGTTGAGTCTTTTTGTTTCTTTTTTTATTGGTTTGGTTACAGTGCTGGGGATCAAACCCAAACACCGTTTCTTTTTCCTATTCTATTTCATTCTTCATCCTGGGGTTCTAACTGCCTGTGCCATGGGCTACACCCTGCAGCTTGAGGATCACCCCCCAGACAAGCTTGCTTACACTCAGAGGTGGCCTGGAGAGGGCCCAGTGGGATGCTGTTTGTGAGGAGGAAGACCTGGGAACCCTCCCAGCCAGAGAGTCTGCAGTGAGGCAGGGGTGAAGGAACAAGGCTGAAAAGGGAGCCTCTGAGCAGTAGCTGACAGGCTGCCAAGGGACATGGTGATGCCTTCTCTCTCCATCGCTGTTGTAATGAGCCACGACCACCACACTGCCCCGAGATGATAATTATTATTTTAGAGTTCTGGAGGTCAGAAGGTCTCACTACAGCCTGCGGTCCTCCCAGGGGCTCTGGGAGAACCTGCTTCCAACTTCTGGAGCCACCAAAGTTCTTTGGCTTGGCTCCTACCTCCATTGTCAAAGCCAACAGAGCAACATCTTTGTCTGTCTCTGTCTTTGATCCACTTATTTCCCGCTCTCCCTTGAAGGAGATGACATGGGGTTCAACCAATAATCCAGAATCCCCCCAATTTAAGAACTTTTTTTTTTTTTTTTTTTTTTTGGTACCAAGGATTGAACTCAAGGGTACTTGACCAATGAACCACAGCCCTATTTTGTTCCCTATACAAAATGCATTATTCTGTATTTTATTTAGAAACAGGGCCTCACTGAGTTGCTTAGCGCCTCGCTTTTGCTGAGACTGGGTTTGAACTCACAATTCTCCTGTCTAAGCCTCCCAGAGCCACTGGGATCAAACTTTCAAAAAGTTTAATATAACATCATAAGGCAACATGGTGATTTTTCCCCAAAATCAAACGTGTGACTGGCACCCTGAACAGAAGCCACAACATGTCTAACTCCCCCCTCGCACTGCCTCCCTCCCCTGAGGGTTAAGCCCAGGGAAATCGCTGTCTCACCTCCTCCCAACAGCCACTCGCTGCTGCCTGCTGTTGAAGTCTATCTGGCCTCTGATAGCTGGTGTGACAGGGCGTCCATGTTGGAAATCATATAGGTTGTGCCTTCTCAGTGTTGATGAGCATTTTACTCTTAGGATCTGCCACAACTTGCTTTCTCACTCTTGGATGTTGGGTTTCGTGTATTTGGCTGGTAGATGGCACTGCGGTGAACAAGCCAGCTCACAGCACCTGCACGTCTCCTTTAGTGCCCATGTGCAGGCATTTATCTGGAGTAGGATGGCAAGGGCACAGGGAGGCGTGGGTCTGCCACACGGTTTTCCATTGATGCTCGTGTTGGTGGCATGATAGTTCTGGTTGCTCTGTGTCCTCGTCAAGGCTGCATGTTATCTCTCTCTCATGCTTTTTTCTTTTGTTTGGCTTGAGACAGGGATCTGGCTAGGCTGCCCAGACTGGCCTTGAACTCCTGGACTCAAGCAATCCTGCCTCAGTCTGACAGGCAGCTGGGACTACAGGCTCCTGCCACCATGTCCCTCACTGGTTTCTTTGGGTTTTTCACTGGTCATCTCCTTGATCCTTGCCCCTGGGGTATATGAAGTTGGAAAGCAGAGAAACACACCCTCCCTTGCTTAGGGGCACGTAAAACCATGTGGGAAGGTGAAGTCCATGATTTTGGTAGTAGCTGCCTCTGGGGGCAGAATGAAGAAGGGTTTGTTAGGGCAGAATTCACCCAGGGCTTCAACTTGTGATGCTGCTATTGCTAAACCAGAAGCAGATACAAGACTAAGATGTTTTATTGCTGAAGTCTTTGGAGGTAATATAATAAAGCTAATTGGTTCACTTTGACAGCTGGTGGTGGGTACAGAATTTTCACAAACATTTAGTGCTTACTGTGTGCTCTACACGTATCAGTCCTTTCCATCCTCAACCCTATGAAGAAGGTCTGATGATTGTTAATCCACCTTTGAATATATGTGGAAACTGAGGCACAGAGACCTGAAGTGACTTGCTCAAGATCACACAGCCGGCATATTCTTAAAAGGCCCTCTACTCTTCTCTATGATTAAAACTTAATTATTTAAAAACAAGAAAGAAAAAAAAAAGAGAGGAAGGAGAGGGCGGCAGAGGGATGTGACCTGCGGTGGTGGTTCCTCCTGCAGGCCCCCCCAGCCCAGCTGCCCGGCCTTCATCACACTCAAGCTGAGCCCCCTGCGGGACCGACTAGTGGTGTCCGAGTGCCAGCTGACCCACTCGCACCCGGCCTGCCCTCGGGAGTTCGCCTACCACTTCCGCCCTGGGCACCTGCTGGCCAACGCCTGCCTGCCGGTGCGCATCACCAACCAGATCTCCAAGCAGTTCGTGGCCCCCGCCGACGTGCGCCGCCTGCTGTCCCACTGCAAGGGCCCCGACCATGGCGTGCTGGACGCCCTGCATGTGCTGGAGGGGCTCTTCCGCACAGACCCCGAGGCCAAGGTAGGATCTCAGGAGACAGCGAGTCGCTTGTCCCTTCCCCACCCACTCTGCCCTGCACCCCTTCCCCACACCCCTTCCCTGCACCCACGCATTCCTTAGCTCTGTGTGCAGCTGGCATGGAGCAGAGAGAGACTCCTCTCTGCCCTCAGTGAGCCTCCCTGTCCCCTGTGGGATGTGCACCTGTCCCCTGTGGGAATGTGCACCTGTTCCCTGTGGGAATGTTCTGATCCTGTGCCTGTGAGCGCTTGAATTGTGGCCAGTGTGAGGGGAACTGGATGTGTTTAATATTAATTCATTGAAATTCACATAGCCATTTATGACTGTTGGCTACTTGCAGTTCCAGTAGGAGAAAGCAGCAGTGGACAAACACATCCAGGTGTCAGTACTGCGGGTGTAGGAGGGGGAGGACGCCAAAGCTGGCAGAAGATGCTAATTGTTTTTAAATTAAACTACAGATAGAAAATGCACAGTACAAAACGATCAGTATGTAGTTTGAAGAGTGTTCACAGGGTTCCACGCCCAGATCAAGAATGAGAAGGGGGTGCTGTGCCCTAGAAGGTGACCAAGTGGAGACCTGTATTGCAGAGCAAGGCCGGGGCTTTCAGAGAGGCGCTGCAAGGGTGCTGTTTGATCTGAGTGGTCAGGCAAGGCCTTTTTAAAGAGAAGGTGAATCAGGGAAGGGACGGGACGCCCATGTCGTCAGAGGGAAGAGCTCCAGGAGAGGGGACAGCCAGTGCCAAGGCCTAGAGGCTGGAGCAAGTTTGGCAAGTCGAGGGTGCTGCCCTTCCATCTCTGCAGACCAGGAAGGGGGGCTTGAAGTTTAATTTAAAAAGGCAAGGAGGGGGAAAACTGGTATCTCCACATGGCTGTGTCTTTGTCTTTCAAGGGTGGAAATGAACTCAGCTCAGGATAGAGCTGAGATGTGCACCCATCCCCCTGGGACAGGCCCAGAGTACTCACCCATCACCTGGCCAGTAACCGGCCTGTATCCTCAGATAATGCTGATAACTTAGCTAAAGTTTTCAGTGTGTCAGGCACTACCCTAAGTGCTTTCCATATCCTCCTTCCTTATTCTGTTCTTTGTCCTTTGTTTGTTTGTTTTTTGATCTGAGGATCAAACCCAGGGCTTTAAGTGCTTACCACTGAGCTCCATTCCAGCCCTTGTTGTCATTGTTGAAATCTCACCTCAGAAGAATGAGGAAGGCCTTCACTATTCTCAATCCCCATTTTACAAACAATCAAAACCCCTGAGGCATTGAGAAGTCAGGTAACTGGCCCAGAGTCAGGGGCTGTTTAATAGCAAAGCGGAGTTGGGGCCCACAGTCTGGATCCAGGCTGTAGCCTTCACTGCTGTGCCCTTGCCCAGTTGGAAGCATGGCCCAGCCCCACTCCAACAATCCCATCCTCCAGAAGGTAAGAGCCCTAAATATGTCAGTTTGCTACCCTGAGAAAAATGAGGGTACGCACACACAAACTCCCTACTCCACTGGTCTTCACAGAGCTAATAACTGTCACCCACTGTCCCCACTGAATAAATAAACCTCAGGTGGTCTCCCCAGAAGCACCCCGCAGGTCTTCCATGAATTAAAGCCATTTGTGGAATGGGATTGGCTTTAAAACTTCCATCTTGGATGCTGCCAACCCAAACTCGGTTTAATGAAAAGCCCCTTTGTCACCTCCTGGCCCCAGGTCCCCTCCTCACAGGTCAGCAGAGTTACCAGTTGCTCATAGATTTAATATCTTATTCTATGGCCCAGCATTGACTAGTGGATCTTTCTACAATGATAGAAACATCTGTGCTGTCCAGTGTAGTAGCCACTGGCTCCTGGGACTACTGACCACTTTGTTAGTATGAATGAGGAACCGGAGTTTTAAAACTTAAAGTAATGGAAATTTCAATAGCCCCATGTGGCTGGCGGCTTCTGCGTTGCACAGCACAGTGCTATAAATGTGCAGGAAGTTTGCATTTCTGTATTTTTAACCTCATTTACTCCCCCGCCTCTGCCACTCAGCAGGGCTGCGTGTTCTGCACACGACTTTGCTTCTGGCTTTATGTGTTGGGGAGGGCCAGGGGTCAGCGTCTTTTATTCTTCCTCTGGGGCTGGTCAGATCCCCCTGAGAAAGCTCCATCCTCCTGGCTGAAGGATGAAGGCCAGGCTGCCCACTTCTGGAACCTCATGGGGAAGAGGCAGGGGATCTGGCTCTTGGTCAGCAAAATGCACCCAGACCCATGTGGGATTCCCCCTCCCTCATCCTGAGATGGGCCTGATTCCCCAAGGCCAGTGCCCCTTTCTGCTTTACTATCTACAGTAATGGGGACCAGCAGACAGGGTAGGAGGAGGGAAAGGTGGGATTTGGAGGTCAAGTTGCTTCTTCACGGCACCTGTATTGTAACTTCTCACTGCGGATTTGCCAGGTCTGTAGGAGGACTGTGCGGTTGGTACTCAGTACTCTCTAGCTCTGGCTTAAGGTTTATGGAGGTTTTTTTGGTAGGAGAGGAGTCAGCTTGCTCTTCTGTTTTCCAAATTCCAAAGCTTGGTACCTGCCATCTTTCCTATTGCCCCTGTCTTTCAGGTTGTAAAAAGTCATTCCTGTAGATGGGTTTGAAGTTCAAAAGAAAGTGAGATGTGTCCAGGCCATCACTCACATATTTCACCAGCTTGCTATCACTTAAAGGGTTTATTTAAAGAGTTCTGCATTATTAATATGTCAACAATTATTTTAAAAAAATGCTTTATTGTCATTCCAAGACTAGCTAAGCAAGTGTTATACATTATTCTTTTCTATTTGCAGCAGTCTTCCAAAGGAGAATGTATCTCTTTGGGTCACTGTAACAAAATGCCCAAGGCAATTAATTTATAAAGGGGAAAGTTATTTATCTCACAGTTCTGGAGGTTCCAGTCCGAGACTGGGCAGCACAGCTGTGGGGTGACTTGGGTACAAAATTGATAACTGTAATTGGTGAAAGCAAAAGATTGGAAACAACCAGATGTCACCAGTGGGTGATGGTTGGTTATTTAATCTATGGCACATTCATCCATGACACACTATGAAGTTCTAAAAAGGAATGAGAAAACTCTAGGCCCTGATCTGGAAAGATCTCTCAAATGAATTTTTTAATTAAAAAATTCATATATATATATATATATATATATATATATATATATATATATATATATATATATATATATTTGTAGATGGACATAATACCTTTATTTATGTATTTATCTATTTATTTATTTTGTAGTGCTGAGGATCGAACCCAGAGCCTCACACATGTGAGGCAAGTGCTTTACCACTGAGCCATAACCCAAGCCCCTCTCAGATGCATTTTTGTGTTTAAGAAAAAAGTAAGTTGCAAAACTGCACATAATGCGCCATGTTATGTATAAATTGGAGAAAATAAGACATACAGGTATGCTTGCTTATATTCACAGAAAGAAACTTCAGAAGCATGCCAAGAGAAGTGGATGGGGTGGAATAGAGAGCAGAAATGGGATGATTAGAATGGAGAGCTGGGAGTGTGACATTTAATTGCTTAATTACATGAATTCCATCATTTCACTTTTGGGCCATGTGAAATTTGCACATTCAAACCATTAATTTTTTTTCTGGCACTGGGGATTGAACCCAGGGCACTTTACCACTGAGCCACATCCCCAGCGCTTTTTATTTTTTATTTTGAAACATGGCCTCCCTAAGTTGCTGAGGCTGGCCTCAAACTTACAGTCCTCTCAAGTTTCTTGGATTATAAGCATGTGCCACAATACCCAGCCCCAATAATTAATTTTTAAAAAGAAAATGAAAAGTGTGAAATAATCCCAATGTACTATACCCATTTAAGAGGAAAAATTAGGGGGCAAATGATGGGGCCGCGTCAGGCCTGGGGTTTGCTCTAGTAACAACCAGCCCTGGCATCTCAGTGGCTGAGCTCAGTGGGCTTTACTCACTGCTCACCCACAAGGAGAGGAAGCAGGAAATACTGCCAGTCTTTCATCTGGGCACCCAGAAGGACAGGCTGTACTCTATCTGTCTGGGATGGCAGTTAGGGCTCTGTTCAGAAGTGATGTCTGAGGTCATTTCTGCTCACAGTTCATTGGCCAAAGCAAGTCACATGGCCCTGCCTACCTGCAAATAGTAAGGAGAGGTGCAGAATTACCTAGTGTCCCGGATGGAGAGAACTGCAATTACTTAGAAAAGGATAAAGGACATTCTGGGGAGCCACTTCACCAAGACCTTCCCAAAACCCTGCCTGGATCTGGGGCTCAGGGTACCCCCTGCTCTGTAGACTCCGGGCCTCCTGCAGCTCACTCCCAGCAGGAGTGTTCTCTATGCTCAAGAGCCTATTTTTGCATTAGATCAGCCAACTTTGGAAGGACAAAATAACAGCTGCTAACTTCTATGTTGATATGTGCTAGACAGCTTTTTACACATTCTGACTGTGCTATGTGTGGCTTTGGGACATTGAACAAGTTATGAACAGGCTACCTAATTTCTATGAGCCTCAGTTTGGGGACAATAACAATAGATAATACCTTATAGAATAACAGATAATACCTATTGCTATGTGAGAAATAGGTTTGTATGTAACAGGGAAAGGAGAAAATAATGCCTAAAAAGTAGGAAGCTCTCTAGGTGTTAGCTCTCCAGCTAGTATTTTTATTCCCTCAATCCCCCCCCCGTCCCCCGCACATCAAAGTGGAAAATAGTACTCTTCTGATCTTGTGATAAAGAAAACATGGACTCAAATGTAGGAAGAGGCATAGGTAGAACATAGTGCTGTGATTTCTGGTGTTAGAAATAAAATAAAATAGAATCTTCTAAGGTAGATGCTTCTTCTGCTACCAACTTGTGTGTCTGGAGGTGACACCTACACTCACTTGGGTCCTCAAAGTCTGCTCCTCCCTGGGCTCCTGTGTCCCCCCAAATGAACCACCGTGCAGATGAACCACTGGCCAGAAAATGAACCACCGGCCAGAAAACTCTGGGTCAGACCTGTTTGGTCACTTTCACAAAGTCATGAGATGACCCTTACTCCATCAGAGGGAGACATAGCAACCTGGTCCCATTAGCCTTTCTGTTCAGCATGCATTCCGCACTCAGGTAACCACTAACACTCACGCCAGCACTGCCTGCGTGCTTCACATAGATTAACCCTTTCAGTCCACATATTATCTTTATAAAGTAGTTGCAGTTATGCTCCCTGTCTTTGCAGACAGGAAAGAGTGAAGCACAGAGAAATACAGACACACAGCTGGTGTGTAAACGTACGCAGCTGGTAGGTAGACAAACCTGGATTTGGATTTCTCTGACAGTCTGGCTCTTGGCTCTAGGAACTCTTAATTTTCTGATCCTTGTGCCTCAGCTGAAAGCAGCACCAACTGTCCTATTGCTCATTGACTCTTGACCATCCAACAGGGCAGGACTTGGGGCCTGCCTTGGTCTTTTTTTCTCCTTTGGCCTAGCGTAGGGTTTAAGGGAAAAGTGGGTATACAAGAAAATCTTATAGACTTTGAAGAAAACCCAAGATCAGGAATCAGAGTATTCCATGGAAGAGCAGAAATTAGCTTCTGGTTAGTCAAGTGCTTGCTTCTGGACAAGTCTCAAGGCAAATGTTTTACTGTCTATGTCTATTCCTGACTCCCAAGGAGAAGAGGATGTGAACTTCCCTAATTCTGTAGAAATGTGCACTTTATAAAAACCCATTATAGCTTTTATATTTAAGTCAGTTTCTAGACCATTGCTGTCCAATAAAATTTTCTGTGCTCATGGACATGTTATATATCTCTGCTGCCTAGTTGACACTAGCCTCATGTAGTTGTTGAACACATGAAATATGGCTAATGCAGCTGAGGAAATGAATTTTTATATATTTAATTTTTTTTCTTGCAGTGCTGGAGATGCATTCATACTAGACAAGGGCTCTACCCCTGGAGCTACATCCCTAGTCTTAAATTTTTAAATTTAAACATGGGATTCATGGCTAGCAGGACAGAGCAGGTCTAGATTGAACATCTACTAAGAAGATTAAATCATAGAGTAATGATGTACAGATTAATGATGGTCAAAAAATTGTTAGCAGTTATGTAACTCATGCAATTGTAAGCATACTGGTTTTTTAAGAAATATTTTTAATTTCAATGCTGAATATATTATTTCAGGGTTAGGAAAGCATTTCATTCTTCTTTTTGAACCGAACAGTAGGTTTGTTTTTGTTTTTTTTAAACAGAGCACAGCGCAACACTTTTGAAACGGTCCTGTAGGATGGGCTTGGGTGGTGCAGATGTTTGTGGAGAGACGTGTGGTCCAACTGGATTCAATCCTGCCTCATTCTGCAGCTGTACATCAGCTCTCTTAGGGACTGGCTGAGGGACCCCAGCCACTGGCACAGTATGGGGGACCCTGGCTCATAGCTACCAATTTCTCCTCCCCATCACGTGACTTTTTGGCAATAATGAGGCCAGAGTGACTGAGACCAAAGTGGGAGAGAGACAGAAGATGAGATCAAAAGGGCTAATTTCCCCTATTAGTCAGCTTTGTATCACTGTAGCCAACACCAGGCATGGGCTACTTGGGAAATAAGAAGAGGTGTGTTTTGGCTCATGGTTCTATGAGGTCCAAGTCCAAGATGGAGCTGCCCCACTGGTTTGAGGCTCTGGTGAGGATGGCACCTCGTGGTACCTATATAGGCCAAAGTAAGTACCCTGATGTCCATCCAGGAAGGAGAGAGAGAGAGAAAGGGACAGTGAGAGCCCAATGGGTCCCTCAGTTCCCTTGAGGGACACATCTCCAGTGACCTCAGGACCTCCCAACAAGCCCCACCACTTCCAGGCCAATGGCACCTCCCAATACTGCTGCCCTGATGGACAAGGTTTAAGCATATGGGCACTGCCCATATTCAAGCCACAGCATCTCCCAAGGCCCATAATTGTGATGTGGATTCTTGATCTTAATTGGAGTGGGAGGAGAAAGCCTGGGAAGCTCTTTCAAGCAGGGGAGGGAGCAATCTAATAGGAGTTTTGAAAATGCTTCTTGTTGCCACTGTGGGGAACAGACAGGGTGAAAGTGGACTCCTGAAGCCCAAGTGGGAGAATGTGGTGGCCCCAGCCAGGATGGTAGCCATAGGGTTAGGGAGAAGTGGCTAGGATCTGGACTTATTCTGAGGAACAGTTCTGGGATTTAGGCATGGATTGCATGTGGAGGATGGAGAAGGAGAGAAAAGAATCATTGCCCCGAGTGTTGGGCCTGAGTAACAGGTGGATGGTCTATAGCTGGGATCTGCACATGCCAGGCCTTGCTGCAAACCTTGGACAGGACTGACCTCATTTTAGCCTCACCAGGACATTCCATTTTAAATAGATATTCTCATTTTGCCAGACAAGGAAATTGAGGGTCATTGAGGGGAATATCACTGCCCAGGGTCCCATAACTAATGAGGCAAACCTGAGATTCAAATGCAGTCTGTTACCTGAAACTCCACTCCTGAGAAGTGGCCATTGGATTTCCCTCCCTCCCTCCCTCCCTCCAGATGTTTCAAACTGTTTTCCTGGGACAGGTGCCTTGAAAAGCATCAGAGATGCAAAAGGGAACAACATTCTGGCCCTGTGGGGCTTATATCTTAGGGAGGGCCAACAGGTAATGGGTGAATTGACAAAAAAGATACCAAGTCCTGGAGGGTGGCAAGTGCCGTGTCCCACAGGAGCTGGAGAGAGATGGGGCCTTGGCTTAATTGGGATGGTGGTGTTGGGGCAGAGCTCATTATTCTAATATTGAACTCTTAGAGAGCACTTACAACTTGTCGAATGAATAACAATAGTGATGCTATTTGTGCCAGGAAAAGTTCTAGATGCATTTCTTCCTAACAATCAGAGGGATTTTTTTTTTTTTTCTGGTGGTACTGAGGATTGGACCCAGGGTTGCTTTACTACCCAGCTACATACTCAGCCCTAGTATTATTACTACTATAATTATTATTAGGGTCTTCCTAAGTTTTCCAGGCTGGCCTCAAACTTTGTGATCCTCCTGCCTCAGCCTTCCAGGGTACAGGGATTACAGGCGTGCCACTGCCCACTGAGGACTGTTCAGAGAGGAACTCTATTACCACTTTACAGATGAGAGGGAGATTAGGGAAATTTCAGGAGCCAGCCAGCCAGGAAGGGTCAGGACGTCTGGCCTCAGGGGCTTTGCTTTCAACTGCTGCTCTCTTCTGCTGGAAGAAATGAGTATTCAATTCCTAGGGCGAGAAGTCTCAGAACCCAGAGGGTTTAAGGAGGAACTGAACTAAGATACTGAGAGGGAAAGTCAAGCAGTTAGGCTATGGTAGGGGTAGGACTCAATCTGAACGTTCTACCTCTTTGGTCCACCGTTTACCACTAGACTGCCTCCTAATTTAGCCCTAGGAAGCCCCAGCATGGAGGAGTAAAAAAATATTTCTGGGTCCCATCCAGAGTTTCAGCCTTAGTAGGTCCTGGGTAAACCCCACAAGGTGTATGTCTATCTGTCAGCTGCTGCTCCTGGTCCAGGGCCTATACTGTGAGAATCACTGCCCCTAGGCCGCCTGACGACTCATGAAGCAATGAACACTCCGTTCCCAGCAGGAAAAAAATGAAGCTAGGCAAAAAGTGTGTGTGCAGATATCATATTGCTAACAGGTCGTGGTGCCTGGATCTCAAACCCAGACAATCGGGCTCAGTCTGCTTTTTTTTTTCCCCTTTGGCCGCTGTCTGGGGAGCTGGGCGGGACGGTCCCTTTGTTCCCTGACCTCTTTCCTACCTCCTTGCCCTCGCCTGCAGGTGAAGCTGGTGTTCGTAGAGGATCAAGCTATGGTAGAGACTGTGTTCTTCCTGACATCGCGCACCAGGGCGCTGTTGCGGCGTTTCCCGCGCATACTCCTGGTGGATCGACTGCCTGGCCTGCAGGGCACACTGGACCTGCTGGCAGTGCTGTGCGTGGATAGCGCAGGACGCGCACGCCAGGCTGCCTGCTGTGTGGCGCGCCCTGGCACGCCAAGCCTCCTACGTTTTGTGCTGGTCTCATTGCTTCAAAGCGCACCCGACGTCAAGGGCCGAGTGCGCTGCCTCACTGCGGGGCCAGAAGTGGCAGCACAGCTGCGGGCCGTGCGCCAGCTGCTGCCATGCGCACGAGTGCAGATCTGCCGCGCGCAAGGCCTCGAGACGCTCTTCAGCAAGGCTCAGGAGCTGGGCGGTGCCAGCCAAGAAGACCCAGGTCTGTGGCCCCTGCTGTGCCGCCTGGCCGGCGCGGCATCCTATGCAGCCTACTCTGAGGCACTAGCTGAGCTGCGTGCCCAGGGCCCAGCCGCCTTTGTTAAGTACTTCGAGCACAACTGGGCACCCCGCCATGACATGTGGGTGCGTTTCCGTGCCTATGAAGCATCCCGTAATCTGGATGCGTGCGCCCTGGTGCGTGGCCACCGCAAGAGACTTCTGCGCCGCCTCAGCCCCTCACACAGTGTGGCACAGTGCCTTCGCGACCTGGTGGCCATGCAGTGGGCGGATGCAGTGGGGGAGGCAGCCTCCGAGGGCGCTGATGGTGATGGAGCATGGCTGGACAGCCAGCCCGGGAGGGGGGGAACCCAGGTCGAGAATGAGAGGGTGAGAGGTCTGGAAACCAGTGATTGGGGAGGAGCTCAGCTAGAAAGTGAGAAGGGGAGGGGATTGCAGGCCAGAGAACAGAGAGGAGTCCAGTTGGAGAACCCGAAAGTGAGGGGGCTGGATGGGATTATCTGGAGAGGGACCCAGTTAGAGAAAGATCACTTGAGAGGGCCAGAGATCAGAGACTGGAGGGGAGGCCAGTTGGAGGATCAAAGGATTAGGGTGTTAGAGATCATAGAAAAGAGGGGAACCCAGTTTGAGTCTGAAAAGGCAGGAGGTCTTGAAGGGAGCCCCTGGAGGGGAGTCCCGTTGCAGGAAGAAAGGGCAAGTGGTCTGAAACTCGGAGACTGGAAGGGGCCTCAGGCGGAAGTGGACAAGGACAAGAGACTGGGTCTCAGAAACTGGAGTGGGATCCATTTGGAGAAGCCCCTGGATTTAGTCCCTGAGAACGGAGATCGGAGGGGGTCCCTAGGGGGAGAAGAGGGGAGGAGGGGGCCAGAGCTAGCAGAAGAGAGGGGAGGGAGGTCGGGGGCCAAAAGAAGACGAGGCCTGGAAGACATAGTTGTGATCCAGCTCGGGGACACCAGGGTCACAGATGTGGCAAATGGAGACGGAAAGGGAGCCCCATCCATGGGCCCCACAAACAGAGCAAGACAAGGGCTGGACACAGGAGGGAGGGGTCCAGGGCTGGGGAATGGGGTCCTGTGCACTACCCCCATGGGAACTGTGTTGGAAGGCAATCCAGAACGGGCAGTGATGAGGAGTGAGTCCCCAGCTGCAAGGGAGACCCTGCAGGAAGGAAGTGAAGAAGGCCCAAGGGAACCAAAGAGGCTTTGCTGCCCCTCAGGAGAGGAGGAGGTAGACTGGGAGCCACTGGCCAAATTCCGAGCAGCCTGTGGGCCAGAGCTGGCAGACCTGGTGGCTGAGGAGCTGGCCTTCGCCAGGCAGCACGGGACCCAGGGTTTCCACTGGACCGGAGCTGGGTTTGCTCTTAAGGATGGCACCTCAGACTTCTTCCTGGACGGAGCGCTGACCCACTGCAGCTGCTCCATCCATGCGGCTCGACACCTACCCTGCCGGCACCTCTTTGCAGCACGCCTCCTCACCGGGGCAGCCTTATTCCACATGGACCTGCTCAGGGATTGCTGGGGGAGCACCCAGGAACCCTGACCCTTCTGCCCTCTACCTGCCACCCTCCACTTGGAGGGCATTCTTCAATCCCAAAGATAACAGTGCTGAGGCCAAGGAGGGCACCCCAGTCCCTCTGGTCACCTCCTGGGTCATCCAGGGACTTCATCTTGGCAGTTTGCCTCTCTGGGTCCAAGGGGAAGCTGGCAATGGTCTCTGAGGTCCTAGAGCCACAGCAGTGGAAACTGCTGATGGGTGGATTCAGACGGCTTCCCTCGGAAGAGGAAACGTGATGAGAGGTATAAACAGGGTCAGGCCAAGGTGGAAAGCAGGAGAGGGGTGAGCTGGGGGGAGGGAGCAGTAGTGGAGGGAAGGGATGACACCAGGATGTGGGGAGGGTCTGGTCCGAATTGAACTCGTCTGGCCAGGGAGTGCACAGGGGGTGGGGGAGCAGAGGAGGACAAGAAGACATGGAGAGGAAAGGGCAGAGAAGATAAAAGGGGAGACCCATGGAGGAGAGGACACAGGAAGATGCCGAAATGGAAAAGAAGTAAGGAAATGCAGGGGAGGCAAGAGAGGGTGAGGGTGGGAACCAGGAAGAGGAGGAGGAGACAGGGAAGAGGGAATTTTAAAAGGAGATGAGACAAAAGAGAGGTAGAGAGAGAACTGAGAGGAGAATGGTCTGGGTGTTTCTCCACTTGGCTTTTCTTCACTTTCTGGTTGGCCATTCCTGGAAAAAGGGGGAAAGGGCAACAGGGGTCTGGAGGGATGGGCTGGAGACTCTCCTTAGGAAGGGGAACTGTCTGAACTATTGTGCTTAAAGACCGGAATAAAGCAGTACTATTTTGGTTTCCATGCTGAGTTCATGGCTTCAGGGGGAAGGTGGGAGGTCCAGAAGCAGAAGAAAATTGAGCTGGCTAGTGTCCCTCTATTTTCTATCAACAAAGCCTCCTGGGGCCAGATGGATGGAGGAGCCATGGCAGCTCAGGCCTCGTCTTTCTCCTCTGGACCCTCAAATGACTGGCCCCTGCTGATCATCTTTGCCAGTGATTGGTTTGAGAATGGACCTGTGACCAGTCCTAGCCAATGAGTCTGCTCAGGTTGGGGTGGAACTTCTAAGAAAGATTCCCTCATTCCTAAGAAGTTTCAGAATGAGATGGTCTGGTCTAGACCTGCTTTGCAGTCACCCTGAGATGGTGTGAGTAAGAACCCACACTGTGGAGGACTGAGCTGAAAGATGAAGACAGTCTGACCTTTGCTTGGCTGATGGGAGTTCCTGGAGTCTGCTCTACCACAGGACTTCTTAAATAAAAGATACCTTAGTGATTTAGGGAAGTTCAGTTGGGGTTTCTGTTGTCACAACTGATGTAGGCTAGAAAGTCCTGGTTGAGGTGACTGAGCACTTCTCAAAATTGTGTTGAGATGCAGTTGGATTCAGTAGGTCTGGAGTGGGGCCTGCAATTCAAGCAAACTCTGATAATGCAGTTGCGGATGAACAGCAACAAAAGACAGTTCAGAGGTTCAAGTTGTGAGAAGTCAAGGGCTTCAACTGATGCTTAATGCTGTAACAATGTCAGGTTTCTCCTCTCATTTCTCCTGTTCTTTGTGGATTCCTTCCAAAGAAGGCCCTCTCTTGACTGAGAAATATAGCTACTTGAAGTTCTGGTAACTTCATGGCTCCATGGCAAAAAGACTTTTCTACCAGCACCCATATAGTAAATCTCAAGGAAGAAACTGGACTTAATAAAGTTATCTGATATCTCTGGGTACATTAATGCTGTGTAAACAAAAACAGCACCTCAGAGATATATAACAATGAGCCCTTATGGCTTATGTGTCTTGGGTCATCCAGGGGGTTGGCTAGACTTTTGCTTTTCAAAGTATGATCCACAGAGCAGCATCATTGAGGTTTCCTGAGAGCTCCATTAGAAATACAGAGCAGGAAGAGATAGATGTATGGTCAGCAGAACAGGCCAGGGTAGATGATTCTTCTAGAACTGAAACTTGAAAGACATGTTGGCTAAGAAAAGAGGATGAAGAAGTACATCCTTGGCAGAGGTAGCAGCATGTACAGTGATATTTTGCCCTTGGGAAATGCAAGAAGAAGGGGAAAAAAGAAAAAGAAAAAACAAGGCTAGTGGCCTTTACTCCTCTCTATATAGTCCAGCTTAATATCTCACATGCTCATCCCACAAGTGAAATCAGTCCCTTCAAGGTCTCTGCTGAAGTATCGTATCTTCCTGAAAGCTATCCCTGAGCATTCTTTCTAAAGTCACTTTACCCTCTTTCTACTTTATTCTTAGCACTATTTCCTGGAATCATACCATAGGGCTATTTACCAGTTTAGCATTGTGGTTAAGTTTATCAAGTATGAAATCCCAGCTCCAACCATGTGGCCTTCAGTTGCCTGACCTCTCTGTATTAAGGTTTGGGAATAATAATAGAACCTACCTCGGGGCTTGGGGATAAATGGATTAGTATATGTACCAGTGTTTTAATGTTGCCTGCATTTCCGCAACCCCCAAACCACCCCAATTACCTGTTAACACATATTGTGTTTTCCATTGACCCGTGTTTGCAATTATTAACAATCGTCCCACACACCAAAGTGAGAGATCGATTTTATTCTCCACTGTACCCCAATGCCTGTGCAAAGTAACCTCTGGTTTAGAAAGATCATAGAATAAAATGGCAGACTGGCTAGGAGGGCTGGCGCGTCATCATTTCTTCGTTGCTAGGATGGGGATCACGCCGGCTCTGGTGCCTGGCTTCAGTAACCTTGTTCCTGCCCCCATCCCGCTCACCATTGGCCGGCCACCGGTCCCTGCTGCGGCGGCAAACACGAAACTACAACTCCCAGGAGGCGGAGCGCCGCGCCCACGGCCGTCGCACGGAGAGTGCGCGCGCGGTAGGAGCCGCCGTTGGCGCTCCGTCTGAGCTGTGCGGGCTGCTTGGGGCTTAGTCGGGTGCCTGCGGAGGAGTGCCGAGCACTCCTCCCATTTTGGGTCCCCTGTACATCTCAGGGTCCTAGAGGTTTGGGCCCAGGGTGCCGGGTCTATGGATGAGGGCCACTGGGAGGGGCATTTTCTGGTCTCCATGGTAACGGGCGGTCTCGGCCGGCGCAGAAGGGGCTGGAGCCACAGATTGGCGTTGCCGTAGTAACCCTGTGGCGGGGAGCTGGGGATAAGGACATTTTGCCAGGAATGAGAGTACCAGCCCGGGAACCGGGGTGTTCTCGAGGAATGGAGAGCGTGATGGAGGAATCGGTTTGCAATAAGAGAGCTGAGCTGATATTAGAGGGGTTCGGGTATTTTGAAGAAGTGGGAATGTTTTGATAAATCCGTATATATTGAGGGGATTTAGGGAGATCGCCAAGAAATCGGTACCTGAGTAGGTAACTGGGATGTTTTTGGGGGGGTGGAAATGCAGGAAGTAAAGTTGGGGCGCTAAACTCATCATCTCACAGCAGTCTGTAGCGCTCCTAGGAAGTGCAGGCACTGCCAGACGTCAGAATCCCGTGGTGACTTTAGAGGGACTTGGGTTTTGTGGAGAAGTTAGAACGATATAGGAATGGTGGCTCCTGTGCGCTGCGGGAGCGACTGGGGGCCAGCCTGCCTGGACCTGAGTGAGAGGGTGAGAACTGAACGAGATGGATTGTGCAGGATCTTGCATATCAAGGTTAGAAGTTTGACCTTTATTCCGAATGGTTTGTGAAACTATTGGATGCCTTCCTGAAAGAGTAACATGTTTTTAAAAACGTTCTTCTGGCTGCTCTGAGAATAACCTAGGAGGCAAGGATGGAAGCAGACCAGTCAGGAGGCTTTTGCAGGCATCCCTAGGAGAGGTGTCAGGATGAAGATGCCCTGAAGTGGGCAGGGAGCACTGATAGACAGAGAGCCACCTGGATTCAAGAGAGTCTCGGAAATAGAATGAACAAGGCACTTTGAGAAACAGGAACCTGATGGGGAAAGATAAGCTTTAACTAAATGGGTTAAGGAAGTAAGTAGGGAACAGCTTAGCAAGGTATTAATTAACTGCAGACAATCTGGATTCTGATTCCAGTTTGATTATTAATTGCTCTGTGACCTTGGGCAGGTGATTAACTCTGTGCCTCAGTCTCCTTATCTGTGGAATGGGAATAATAACAGTAGCCATCTCATCACTTCCTTTGAGAAGAACTGCAATCACAGTTGGAATGCAAAACACTGATGTTAAAGCTGGGGAGGGACCCAAAGTCCTGCCTTCCATGTCTCATCCTGTTCCTTAATTTTGCCTCATTACACCTGGGAAGAACCCTGAGTTTCCACAAAATGGTTTGAAATCCACCCCTTTGAAGCAGATCATCTCAGACTGTCTGGCAACACTGGGCTGCTGTGCTTTGTGACAGTGGTTTGCAGACATATAGCAGCAGCTCTGTCCCCACTGTCCCCTCCTGTCCTCTTTCACTCATCCATGTTGTCTGCTTGCCCCATGATGACATGTGATTTGCTCTGAGCCACATTTATGTAAGTGCTCACCCAGACTGCCAGGAGGTGGCGTGCTGCCTCTTTTCCAGCTGGGGTGACTAAATAAGATAGGCTCTATGACTTGCTTAAGGATATATAGCAGAAAGGAAAGTCATCCCTGTGCCCTCAACTTTCACCTATGTTGTCACTCACTCTCATTTTAGCAGAAAGAGTGCCTGATGGAGTCACAGTTTCTGTCACCCACTTGCTAAGGTTCTTTTGCTCTGAACATGAATTCATCCTGTGGAAATGGTAATGATAACCCTCCAAGATTGTTTTGAAAATTGAAAATAATATCTTTAAACCATCTAGTAAACAGGCTGATAAACCAGTGATTGGTTGTTATTCTAGATTAGCCCACCTCCCTTCCTTCCTTTCTTTTTTTTTTTTTAAACAAAGGATGGAACCCAGAGGTGTTTTACCACTGAGCTACATCCTCAGCCCTTTTTTATCTTTATTTTGATATAGGGTCTTGCCAAGTTGCTTAGAGCCTTGCTAAATTGCTGAGGCTGACCTCAAACTTGTTATGCTCGAATTCGAGACCCCCAAAAGATCACCAGAGATCAAGATCGATGAAAACAGCAAAGAGGTGTTTATTGTGAACTAGCTCGGTCCTCCACGCACACACAGCAACTGGTGACGCTGAGAGGCCCCAAGCCCAGGGTTTGCAGCAGTTTTATACATTCTTTGGAGAAGGCAGGGACCCCCACATACATCATAGCATCTCTTAGTAAATCATCACACACCGTGGGAAAATCAAACAACTACTCTAAAACATGATTAGCACATTCACTGGCTGGAACAAGTTGGGTAAGGGTGATTGGTTACTACAAGAGGGGAATTCATTTGAACTGATTGATTTAAGCCAAGAGGGGTGTTCATGCTGAATTACATGGTTTCCCAACACCATAAACTACTGGGAGGGTCATCTGGCATCCCAGGTATTTCCCTGTCTCATGCTGATTGGTGGCTGCTAGGGAGATTGCTCTGGATCCCCACCTAGCCTGACTGAGTCAGGGACACCTATTATTTGTAGATAAACAACTTAGCAGGGTGGGAATGTGCCTAGGAGTGCTCTGTGGGTCTTTCCAAGGACAAAGGTCATGTCCCTTCCTTGGACAGGCTTTGCTCTGAGGTAGAGGCTGGTTTTTCACTTGCAATTCTCCCGCCTCAGCCTCCCAGGTCTCTGAGATTGCAGGAATGCACCAACATGCCCAGCTGTCCTTTTTTTGAAAGACTGAAGCTTTGGGCTGATGTTTGAGTGGAGTTTGGTGATGCAGCATGGAGAGGGGCTTCTGCTATTTGTCAGACCAAGTCAATCTCTTAAATACCAGCCCTACACCAGAAATACACCGTGTGGTGCACTGGGGCAGCCTGAAGTTCTGCTGCGAGTGATCCAGTGGGGGGGGGCGGGGGTCCTGTGAACCGAACGTTCTCCTGGACATACGGGGCAGAGCATGGCACTGAGGCGCATGGGAAGCAAGAGGGAGGCAGCAAAGTGTGAGGAGACCCTGGCCAAACCTGAAGAGCTCTGGGAGCCGTGGTCGGGTGGCCCCTCTACCCCTCACACACCTGAGTCCCAGCCTCACCTGCTGCCTGTTTTCTTCTGCCACTCCAGGAAAGGGAGGAAGGGAGTGGGTGTGAAGGGGCCATCTGGGTGGCAGAATACTTGTCATGGAGGCCCGTGGGAGCACTGAGGGAAAGGGGACCAAACTGCTGCAAGAGGAGCAGCGGGAGCTCCTGAGGACTCTGGCTTGAAGGGTAGGGTGGGGACTGGAAGACCTTCGTCAGGGAACAGATGTGGCAGGCAGAAGACCCTCGGTGGAGAGTCAGCGATGGAGTGGGCGAGTTCATGACGGTGTAGTGAGGGGGTGCCGCTGGTTGGAAGAGAAGCTGACAGGAGACTTTTCAGCAAAAAGAAAGAACAGAAGGGGCTGGGGACAAGAAAAGCCTTCCAGGGCACACCTCTGTTGGCCTGTGGGCTCCAGCTAGGTCCCACCTCCCAGTCCACTCAGCCATCCCTGGATTAATCCAACAGTGAAGCCAGAGCCCTCGAGGGATGCAGTTACTTCCCCAAAGCCCCAACTCTGAACACGAGAGACCTTGGGGACATTCTAGGTCCAAACCAGACAATCACAAAGGAATCAGTTCAGCAAGAGAGAAAAGCAATTCTAAACAAGTATATATCTCTCCAATATTAGAGCACCCAAATATAAAAAGCAAATATTAATAGACATTAGTGGAGACATAGACTCCAACACAATAACGGGACTTCAACACTGCATTTTCAGCAAGGGGCTGATCATCCATACATAAAATCAACAAACAACCAGCAGAATTAAGTAGCACCCTAGACCAAATGGATCTAACACACAGCTACAGAATGTTTCATCCGACAACTACAGAAAGCATTCTTCTCCCCAGCGCATGGAACATTATCTAGGATAGATTACAATGTAGGCCACAAAACAAGTCTCAACAAAATTTAAAAATTGTAATCATAGTGCTCCTGACTTCACGGGCTCTTATGCTATCAAAAGAATAAAAGCACAACTGGAATCTCAGCACTACAATCAATCAATCAATAAAGCACAATTGAGGAATGAGACTGACTCTTTATTCTTATGCTTGTGCCAAAAGAGGCAGCACACAGTGGACAGAAATCATGGGCTGAATTGAAGGACAAAGGAATACAGCTCTTTTGGCATCCAGGGTTGGCAGGGACCCCATCTCTTGATGTCACATGGAGTGTTAGTTACACCCAGGTGCTACATCATGCGTCTTTGCAGGTCACACATCTCATCATCATCTTAAGACCACACTCAAGAGTGTGACTTTTATTTCGGTAAGAGAGGTAATCACATGTTATAGTTAAAGCTTCGTCCCTGGGTTTCATAAACTGACTTCCAGACCACTCACGTATAATCGAATCAAGCCTTTATTGAAGCACACCGGTGGCGGCTGACCAGAACATAAAGCTGTTCCCCTGATCAACCCCGAATAATTGCAAGGGCACTCCTTATAATCCTGAAAACCGCAAAAGGAATGTTCAGGGGGGTCTAGCCAATGCAAGCCAGCCAGGTTACAGAAGCAGGACAGTGCAGTCAAGTGGAGGGAAGCCTTACCAGTCACAGCCCAGTCACCCCAGTTACAGAAACAGAGCACAGTTACTCTAGTTACAGAAACAATGCCCCATTAGGTAGTTTTGTGTTCTTAAAGGTTTCTATAGCAAAAGGAAAAGAATATCTTGCTCCAGTCATGACTCTTCTACTTGGCATGGTTGTTTTACAGAATGAAGTCATAAAACAAAATGGAGTCACATTTGCTCCTACTACCACAATGTGAGTGACTATTCTATGCATCATTTGCCTCTTACCAACAGAAATTTGCCTCTTATCATCTGGGAGAGTCCCTAATATTATTTTCAGAACAGGGAAGACACTGTCCTGTCTCAGTGGATTTCTTAATGACCTTATTTTTCTTGGCCCTGGCTTCTCGGTGTCCCCATTGACCAGAGGCTTTGAAGGCTGTGCTGACTTCCCAGCCTCTCATTTCCAGGTGTTATCTTAGCTCTATGTCCATGAACACTTGTCTACTTTTGAACTCCAAGTTTTTTTGGGTATCTTAGATATATTGATATTGAGGGTCTTTTCTGATCAAAATGCAATAAAGTGAGAAATCAGTGACAAGAACAGTTTTGGATTTTTTACAAATATATGGAAATTAAACATGCCCAACGGCAGGAAACCTGCTTACTCTATCTCCATGTTTCTGGTTCCATTGATAATCCCAAAAGATATAAACATATCACTGCAGTTAGTGTTTCTATGCACGCAACTTTATAACTGTCATCTGAATTACCGTGATGGAAACCTAAGCCTTTTGATGAGATTGGTCAAGAACCACAAGGAGTCACCACACAACACGCAGTCACCCAAAGAGCCATGATCTTGAGAAATGTCATCTTTCACACGTGGAAGCAAACAAAAAGGACTTCTCTCCATTTTCTGAGCAAGTATCAGTGGTTTAATGTACGTGCATAATGATTATCCGAAGTCAGTGGTGTGAGAATGTGCTTCTAGAGAGTCAAATTTGGAATAAAATCTGTAAAACAAATTAGAATGCTCTAAGAGATTCTACACAATTTAATACCTCTGAGAAATTATATGAAAGTGAAATAAATAAACTGTAAAAAGTTAATGTTGATAATTTTACATAGTCCGGGGGGACTAAAAGCCAAAGTAAAACAAAACAAAAATGAAAATCTGACAAGATAAAGTGTATTACAGGGATAGATTATGGGCAGTTGCATGGAGGTGGTCCATAGAGCCGGCCAACATTCACAACCCTTAATCAGATTTTGAAGTACTGCATTATGATGAGTATCTGCTTTTTTCATTTGAAGCATAACTTTTCTTGAAGGATATGTTCACCTTCATTTTCTATGTGGCACTGCTCTCCTTGGAATTCTGTGCTTCAGTACACACCAACATAGTGCTGCCTGTTCAGCATTCCCATCTTCTGTGCCAGGGTCCATGCTGTCTTGGGCACATGGAAACCCATTGCCCACACACTCATCTACACACCACTACAATGGCAGAAATAATACTGTGGTCAAGCAGCAGCACCATTTTGTGTCTTCTTATCCTTTTGTGCTTGTGATTCTTTTCCAACCTATCTGTAATTTTGCTGGCTTATTCAGACACATAAAGCTGCAACTCATTAAAAGTTCCTGGAATTTAATCAGCTGGAAGGAACATCACTGCAGACAAGTCAATTGTAGACTAAAGTTTTTGCAGCTGCTCTATCACATGGTTAATGAATCCATCTGAATTTTCTTTCAAATGCATTTGGACAGATGGAAAAAAACAAACTTAGTAGGTAACACTTTGAAATTCATCTTCAGAAGCCGGTTTGCACCTAATTCCAAATCTGTCATTACCGTTCAGGAATTCAAATGAAATCCTTTACTTTTTCAGTGTCCACCAAGTCTTAAAATAAGTGTTCATAAAGTGTTTTACTTTTTCCAGTTATTTGTACATAAATGAGAAAGAAGTTCTAGAATTTTTGATCAACCAGGGGAATTTATTGTATATATATGATTTTTCAAAAATGGGATAGTTTTGAAGGTTCCGTGTGTGTAACTAGATTTTATTTCTATTTCTTGGCTTACATTATGTTTTCATATATATGAAAGAGTGTCAGTGATTGTTTAAGTATTTGTATACTATTGTTACCAGTTAGCTGAGGGTTCTTTTGCTCAATTTGGATAGAAATTGTAGAAAGGCAAAATTGTAGAAAGGCTCTGAACTCCGGGAGCCAGTAGCTCTTGGTTCTTATTGTTAGCAGCTCTCCACAGCCAGAGCTAATGGCTCCCAGCAGCTCTCCCGGAGCTCTTGGTCATTCTGGAATTCTTCAGCAGCTCTCTGATGCTACATGTTCTTAGTAGCTTTTAGTGTTACCAGCTTTTGGTGCTACCAAACCTGTCTGCTGTATTTGGGATAGAATTCACAAATAGACAAGCTAAAACCATCTGAAAGAGGCTTCTTTGGGGCTGTGCGGTAGCCCGAGGGCAAGCAATTCACAGCATGTAGATCCAGCTCCGTTTGGTCCTCCAGCAGCATCTTTCCTACACCCATCTTGGTGGCCCTGAACACCTACTTAATTAACATCCTGTCTCTAGGACCTCTGAGTAAAATGAACGTTGTTCTCCTGAGCCCCTTCTCTCTCTTCCTGTAGCCATCCCTGACTGATCATTATGCAACAGAGTGCAAAAAAATTTATTTTTGCAGTATGATGCCATCTATAAAAAGTGAAAGTCCAGGGCTGGGATAGACCACCTGCTTACCATGCATGAGGCACTGGGTTTGACCCTCAGCACCACATAAAATAAAGATATTGTGTCCACCTATAACTAAAAATTAAATAATTTTTTTAAAGTGAAAGTCCATAAACCCTCCAAACATACATACTTCAAAATCAAATTTACACCAACATTAAATTTAAAAAATAAAGGATAATATATAAAACATTTAGAAATGTTAACCCCTTGAGGAAATAAGAAATATATTATACACATTTTAGGTATTCATAGTAATGGCTATTGTATTAATTAAGCTGTTTTGAATATGTATATGGGTTCTTTTCATTTACATTGCATCATATATTGTGTAGGAAATATTTAATGTGGAATTTGGAGGGAAATTTCAATTTTATATTATGGCAAACAATTTTATTTTTTTAATGCTTTTTTTTTGAGAGAGAGAGAGAGAGAGAATTTCAATATTTATTTTTCAGTTTTCATCGGACACAACATCTTTGTATGTGGTGCTGAGGATGGAACCCAGGCCGCAGGCATGCCAGGCGAGCGCACTACCGCTTGAGCCACATCCCCAGCCCCATGGCAAACAATTTTAAAACAGCAAACAGATTCCATAACAAACCAAGTGTGTAACAATCCTCAGTGATGTCAGGGCTACAGTATACCCCGCTGCCCTGTCAGGCCTGTGCAAAACAGAGGGTGGAGGAGCAGGGGGCACAGTGGCCTCCCCTGAGGCAGCCAGCGTGTCCTCTGGGGTCCTGCTCAGGGTCAGCTTGGATCGAGGGCTGTGATCATTTCCATCAGATGCTTGGAAACTTTTGGTGGCTTTCTAGGTCCTCAAGTTTACTTTCTGAGGCAGTCCAACCAGGGAAAACACAGCCTCAGGGATGACGTAGCACTCCTAATTAATAAACCTAACAGTTAACACCCAGAGACTCACTGTGCCTCTGGGAGAGGATCTGTTGCTCCTCTGGGTGCATCCAAATGATTCCTGGTAAACAAGGTCATTGAGGTAACAGGTGACAGGGTGATCAATGACCCCTGGGAGGAGAGTTCCTGTCATTCTGTCTCTGAAATACAGTCTCTACTGGCCACATGCAGCCTTTCCAAGATGCCTGATTGTGTTGGGGAGGCTGACTGCCTGGAGCAGGGACCCTGCAGCCCTCGGCCTCAGGAGAGAGTAAGGAAGGAAGTCCTTGTCTGCATTCCCATTACCACATCTAAGCTTCTGCACAGAGATTTATTAGATTTATTTTTAGATTTTTACTTTTAATACTTCTGTTATAATGTACATGCATGATCCTTTCTCTTAGTTTCTAACTCTTTTTTGCAGGAGGATATGGGAGATTGAACTCAGGGGCACTCGACCACTCAGTTCACATTCCCAGTCCTATTTTGAATTTTATTTAGAGACAAGGTCTCACTGAGTTGCTTAGTGCCTCGACTTTTGTAGAGGCTGGCTTTAAACTCACAATCCTCTTGCCTCAGCCTCCCTCGCTGCTGGGATTACAGTGTGCACCACCAAACTTGGCTACTTTCTCTCTCTTTTCTTAAATATTTATTTTGGACTTAGTTTGTGGCTCAGGTTTGTGTCTCAGCACCACATAAAAATAAATGAATAACATGAAGGTATTGTGTCCAACTACAACTGAAAACTAAATATTTTTTAAAACAATATTTTTAAAATATTAATTTTTCAGTTGTAGTTGGACACAATACCTTCATTTCACTTATTCATTTTTTTATGTGGTGCTGAGGATCAAACCCAGGGTCTCACATGTGCGAGGCGAGCCCTATACTGCTGAGCCACAAACCCAGCCCAGTTCCTAACGCTTAATTCTCTTTTAATATATGCCTCTGCTATCTCCATTCTTTCATTCCTGTATGTGTTAGTATCTGCTATAACTCTGCATATCTGTCATTGTTTAAATCAATTTAGTTTTGTTGAAAGTCTCTGACACACATTCTTGATGTGCAGATCTTGAATTTTCTTTTAACATATATGTGAAATTTCCATTCAGTTCCATGACAATCTTAGGTCTCCTGTATTGTGTGATCTTTCTCACACTGTCATCTTCATATTCAATGGCTCAATTGATATTTGCTTATATTTCAAATGATTTACATCTAACTTCATTTACTCCTCCTTTTTCTACTCTACTATTGTTTTAGTTTTCAGAGCATATATATGTATATATGAAATATGTAATATAATAAACAATACATATATTACCTTTTAAAAATTAAAGGACATTCATTTCATTAAATGCTATAGTCACTTAGATTAATTTATCATATCATTTCCAATTGAGTGCATAACAACTTTTTATCATATATTCATTCTGAGGTTTGTCTTATTCTATGCTATCTAAATGGTATCCTTCTGAAATGGGTGTTCTGATAATACTTTTGTGACACAATACAGCAATCAAAATGATTTTTATACTGACTTTCTTCCCCATAATCTTGAAAAACTCCTCTCATAAATCAAATAATTTAGTCATTGATCCTGCAGTTGTTCTCCATAAGATTTAATATTTATGAAGAAAGATAGTATTACATTCTTTGCAGTTGTTATAAACTGTACCTTCTCTGTTGACAATAATGGCCCTCTGCAGTCATGAGGAGCAAAAGTAATGAGCACAGATCTTCATTCATATGTGATCTGGAAGGCAAGCTTTCCATGTTAAACCACACGTATGATATCATGGACTCGGTTCATATTTTTACCATAGAAAATAATTTTTTTCTATAGCTATAGCATAAAAATTTTAATTTTTATATATGTTGCATTTTATCACTGCTTTTATATATCTATTGAGGTTGATGATGTATTTATGTCTTTGAGTCTACTATTGTGGGTGATCACAGTAGTCAAGTTTGAACCTGAAACCATTATCACATATTAAAGACAAGGTGCATTTTCAAAAACAACAGTACGGTCACCATAGTCAATCATGGCAAGTATCACAATTTCTTTTTTTTAATATTTTTTAAATTGCAGGTGGACACAATATCTTTATTTTACTTAAGTGGTGCTGAGGATTGATCCCAGGGCCTCACACATGCAAGACCAGCGCTCTACCGCTAAACTCCAGCCCCAGCCCAAGTATCACAATTTCAACTAAGTCAAACTCATAAAACATAAACTGCATAATTGGTGGAAGGCCCAAATGAGCCTGTGGAGGAACAGGACTCCAACACTGTGGGGGCTCAGTAAATAATTTGAGTGCTGCTCCCTTAACAGGATAATGAGTGTGGGATCATTGCAGTACAGATCGTGCCCAAGCAGGGATGGTGGTGGAAGTGCAGCCTGAGATGATCTGAGAATGTTCTCATGGACTTGCTCAGTGTGGAGACACATGTGGAACTGACCACAGGTCCAGGTGGAAATGAAAGACAGTGGTTCAGATGAAGGAATAACTGACTCAGTGGGAGAAAGTATCCGTAAGCAAATGAAATAGCGAAATAGACTCCAGATTCCAAGAAATATGGTTGAGATATTGACCTCTTCAATTTCATATTAACCTGAAAAAATGCCCAGTCATTTCTGCTGCAATAACATTGTTGAATCTACTCATTCTGTTTCCATAAGCACTCAGAAACAATCAGACCAAAGGGTAGATGTTACAAATGTCATAGTCCTCAGGACACAGGGACCTTTGTTTGGATTATCAACCACAGTATGAGTGCTAGTTCTGCGGGACATTCCATGTTATGGGGTTTGTCCAGAGCCCTGTGGGATATTGAGCCTCAATTTAGGCCTCAATTTTGGCCTCAGTTTTCTGCATGTCAGTAGCTCTGCACAAGTTGTGCACAAGTTGTGGTCAGGTGTCTCAGATCACTGCTGTTTGACCCATGTGTTGGGAGAGAGGTGAAAAGTTTCCACGTGGAACACGCTGTCTTGCATGATTGTTTAGCAGTCAGTGACTTGGAGGAAGGGTGTGTGCCATGAAAACTCCAAGGCAGAAGTTCAAGTACACACTGTAGTCTGTCTGTTAGAAGGATCATATTCTTCAGAGAGGCGAGACTACGGAAACACAGGCTGAAGATGAAACACAGTCTGAGGCTCATGCCAGATAACCTGCACACATGCCTTTCACACAGGCTGCATGGCCCCACTCACTATCCTAGAATGCAGTGATGTGGCTTGAGTTCCCCTTCTCTCTCTGCCTACTTCTGTGATCTGTTGCTCCCAGGAATCCCTGGAATCCAGGCTCTGGAACTGTCTAAGTACACCCTGGCATGCAAGAAAACTGTACATTTCACCACCTTTTTTCCTCCTGCAATGTTGGTGTTCTTGCAGAAGTTGTGTCTTAAAAATAATTTTAAGTAATCATTGTTTTTTCATTGTAGGCCTAGTTTACCTCATTACAACTTTTAAGCCATCATTAAGGTAATATTTCTGTGCTGGGCAGGGAGTAGCTCAATGGTACTGCGCCTGCCCAGCATGCTTGAAGACCTGGATTCCATCACCAGCAAAATAATAATAAGATAATGTTTCCGAGGGATACAGTCTTTGGGGTTTTCCTCATCTTTCAGCTGTGCATTGGAGTCCCTGGTAACTCATTCCTCTTCCTGCTGTATATGCACACCTTCTTATTTCAGCATCATGTGAAGAAGATTATGGATCCCATTTTCTCCCTTCTCATGTTGGCCAACACTTTGACAATCACATTCACATTGATACCACATATCATGTCATCCTTTGAAGTAAGATGGTTTTGGGACAATGTTGGTTGTAAAGCAGTCTTGTATACATACAGAGTGACTCGGGGTGTTTCCCTCTGCACCACCTCTCTCCTGAGTGCCTTTCAAGCCATCACTGTCAGTCCCAATAACTCAAAGTGGGCATGGCTTAAATGTAAGCTCTCTACATGGACTTGTCCCTGGTTCCTTTTCTTCTGGATCCTCAACATGCTCATCTACATACGCATCATTGAAACTGTCACAGCCAGGAGCAATTTCACTCTGGTTGGTCATGGCTATGTTGATGCCTACTGTCAAACCAGGCAGTTTGGGAATCAGAACTCAGGGACATATATACTGAGTCTGTTGGTGATTCGAGATCTGGTGTCCGTGCTCCTCATGATAAGCACCAGCCTGTACATGGTGAATCTCCTCTACAGACACCGCAGGAGAGCTCAGCACCTCCACAGTCCCCACGTCTCCTCCCAGACATCTCCTGAACACAAAGCCACTCGCACCATCCTCTTGCTTGTAGGTTGGTTTGTGTTCTTTTATTTCTCAAACAACTGTCTGACTCTTTATTTATTTTATGCACATAAGAAAATTCCAAGCCTGGAGGGGATTAGCACAGTTTTATCATCATGCTACCCAACCATATGCCCGTTTTTGCTGATGAAAAATAATAAAATTGTTTCTCAACTTATTTCATCCTTTTCCTTGACAAGAATAACAGGTTCCCATGGAATATTTAATGGCTTGACTTCCCAAGCTTTAACAGAAGAGAGTCCTTAATGATGTGTAAGGGAAAAGGAGATCCATGTAGTACTTGAGCACTTCAGATGCCACTAGTTTGGGCTCATTTATTCTATAAATCTAAAATGCACTCAAAATAGAAGGCTTAGTTTCAATAAATGTATATATGTATCACTGGAATAGCTTTCACATTGATTACATGTCTGAATTAAGACATTTTGAGTAAAATGAGTATATTTTCTGTATGCTATTAAAACTCTTCTGTTTGCTTTTCCTCTCTTGAAATGCATCAACAAGAAAATGTAAAATTGATTTGGAGTTTGTATCATGCTTCTACTAAAGTGTGCTGGCCTAAGAAACTGCCTGTGTATCCCACCAATGCCCATTGCCCTCCTTACATCTTCCAGGCAAGATATTAGGGCTTGGATGTACTCCAGTGTCCTGAGAGCATAAGACATGATAACCAAGGGACTTAATAGATTCTTCATGGTGCAGGGATCATATCTGTGATGTGAGGAGAGCTCTACAAATAGAGCTGGGGAGGAGAACTGGGAGGCCTAGAGATTCACTCTGAGCATGCAGTGAGTTGCCCTGGGCGTCTCTGATGTCTGCAAAAACCTCTCCACAGTGATGCCCACTCGAATTGGGATGCAGGGCTTCCTATCTGGATGCAGTCTCTCATGTCTGAGCTGACTTGTGTCTTCTCTCAGTCATTCTTCATGAGAGGCAGCAAGCCCCTTTCCATTGCTGTTACCATGGACTTTTTGGAATCTTTGCCCCACACCCACTTTCTTTACTCCCACCTCCCCCACTTGAAGTCCTTGTTCTGTAGAAGCCAGTGCTTTACTCTTGAGAGCCACAACCAAAGGGGCCCCAGCAAACTTCTAGCTGCTGGCTGATGATTGGCTCACAGCGGCCCCAGCAACTTCTAACTGATTGGCTCCTCTGCGGTTATGCTCATTGAGCTATTTCCCCACCCTTTCAGAATGCCAGCTGATGATTGGCTCACAGCGGCCCCAGCAACTTCTACCTGATTGGCTCCTCTGCGGTGATGCTCATAGGGCTGTTTCCCTGCCCTTTCAGACCACGGAGCTGCTCATTGGGGGACTTTTTTGGCTCCGCCCACGCAACCCAGCCAATCAGCCTCAAGAGCAGGAGATTGGGGGTTGGGGGAGAGGCTTGTGGGAAGCCAGTGGTTTCAGTTGGGCTCTGAAGGTTTTTCCCGAGGAGCTGTATTGTTTGGTGTGTGTGGTTCTAAAAATAAAGTTCCTTTCTTTTGACAAGTGGCTCCTAAATTGTGCCCAGCCAGACTGCAGCACTTCACTCAGATCCTCAGAATGTCACACAGGGATTTTTAGATTGAATCCTTTCCTACTTTGTCCACCACCATGGCTCATAGTTCCTTTCCTGCATGAGGGGGCTGAGGAGGCCCTCAGCCTCACCATTTCTACTGATCAAGGTGAGAAAGTGACATGGATCCCTGCAGCCAACTGCACAGCCTGCCTACTGGTGCTGGCTGGGAGGCTGCAGTGGAGCTGTGGAGCCACAGAGTGGCAGCCCTGGTGGGTTGGAGCACTGGTGGCTTGTGGCTGTGTGGAACTTGCCATGCCGGTGTGGGGGGCCAGCACCGAGTCAGGGCAAACTGACCCATCATCCCCGGGAAGGTGGCCTGCACACAGTGGGCATGCCCGTTGCAGAAGCTCCTGCCAGAAGCTATCTGTGAAATTCATGGGGACCTTTTTCAGCATCACAGCCAGTGAAGGGGTAGATCTGGTACTGGGAACCTCCCGTGCCTGACCCACCCAGATAGAAGGCCCAAACATAAGTGAACTCCCCCTCAGCTCTGCAGAGGTCTTCTGCAGCACCAGAAATGGGAGTGACCCCCTAGGAACCGAGCAGCCTACCTGCCCTGACATTTATCCTGTTTTGGTAAAGAACTTTCTACAGGAAGCTTTTGATGGATTCCAAAATAAATAAAGCAAGCGCGGGCCCTTTTCTCTGTTAGAAGCTGGACGCATCTGGTCAGCTTCACCCATTGCTGCCCTCACTTTGAAACTACTTTCTGTGTTCTCTGGTTATTCCATGGTATTGCTTTTCTTAGCTTTTATTTCTCAGCCAGCCCATCCCACTGAAGGATAACCATGCCCTCCCATGCAGATGTGGGCAATAAGTGCCCTCAGATAGCACAGCAGCGCCATCTGTTGACATCACCCTCCTGCTTCCTTACCTGCCAAGAGAAAATGGAAGTGGGGCAGACCTAACAAAAGATGGGACTCCAGAACTGATCAAGAACAAGAGCATTAGTGCATTTCCAAGCCCTCATCATAAATTGGGACCAAGTGCTATTTAAACGCCTAGATCAGCAGCTGGGCCCGTAAACCTGCTGTTGGTTCCCTCTTGTGCTGCAAGGGTTCTGCTCTTCAATAAACTCTACTCTACACACACTCATCCTGGTCTGTGGGTTTCATTCTCTGATTAATGAGACAAGAACCCAGAAAGAAGAAGAAATTGAAGATGAGCTGCTGGGTCTGCTGCCACACTTCCTGGCTAAGAGGCCTGCTGCTTGCGCAGACCCACCTGCCCGCACAAGCAGTGGATTGAGTTTCATCTTAAAACTCTAGTTCTATAGGGGCCTCAGAAGAGGGTCCCTAATCTACCCAGCCTCGTATTTTACATATAAACACATGTATGTGAAGGTACCTGTGTGTGTGCATATACCTTACCTCTGTATAGAACTTTATCTGACTTAAGTGATATGTTACAAAGCTGTGGATCTCTTTTGAAAACCACTATTTTTTGTGAGGGTTCCTGGGTTGCTTTTTCTTTCCCTGCCATTCTATCTTGTGTCTGCAGTAGGTGAGCAGGAAGCTGACTTCCATTGAGTGCCTCTTCCCCTCTTCCATGAATCCCTGGAAACTCGGTTCCTGTTTTGTGATATCTGATTTTGTTCATCTTGATAATATTCAAGGGTGACAGAATCCAAACTTAGAGGCAGATTTCACAACACGGTGTGCTTTCAAAACAAATGGAAGACTCACTGCAAAATGCAGTATTTTCTTTATTAATGGAAGCCCATCTTAATAACTAATAGTGAAGACAAAAGGGCTAAGGACGCTCCATGTATTTCCAAGGCATACACAGGCAGAGTTGTAACTCAGGAAGTTGGTTCAGCTTTTGTTGTTGTTGTAAAATGTGTTTCTTGGGGCTGGGGATGTGGCTCAAGCGGTAGCGCGCTCGCCAGGCATGCGTGCAGCCCAGGTTCGATCCTCAGCACCACATACCAACAAAGATGTTGTGTCCGCCAAGAACTAAAAAAAAAAAAAAAAAAAAATGTGTTTCTTGGACCACTTTTAGGTTCAGGCTCTCCCTTTTACCCTATTCATAAGGATTTACAGCCTCCCCTATCTCAATCTACCGACCCAAATTCAACACTTCTTAAAATGATGGAACATATGTCAACACATTATTATTATCAAAAACCATAGTTCCCTCTTGGTTTTGTTCATTCTAGGACTGTGTGTGCGTGCGTGTGTGTGTGTGTGTGTGTGTGTGTGTGTGTGTGTGTGAGAGAGAGAGAGAGAGAGAGAGAGAGAGAGAGAGAGAGAAAGAATGGGGACTGAACCCAGGACCATTCCTTCTCTAAGCTATACCAGCAACCATTTTACGAAATTTTTTTAAATTAATTTATTCATTTATTTAAAGATACTTTATTTACTTTTTTTTAGAGAGAGAGAATTTTAATATTTATTTTTTTTTAGTTTTTGGTGGACACAACATCTTTGTTTTTATGTGGTGCTGAGGATCGAACTCGGGCTGCATGCATGCCAGGCGAGCACGCTACCGCTTGAGCCACATTCCCAGCCCTCAAGATACTTTATTTTCAAAACAGATCACAACATTAACCTTTTGACCTATGCTGACATTGTACAAGCTACCAATGCCAGCTGGGCAGCTGGGGGACATTCTCTAGTAGCTTGTTTGAAAAGTGAATAAAAATCCATACCAAACAAATATTCAATAGTTTCCTTAGGAAGATGGGTCAGTGTGACCCCACCTTCTAATCTTCCCCACGGCTGCATCTGGGCCAACCTACTCTTATGGAGAACTTTCAAAACTAGCAGTTTAGTCCAGTGGTCCCCCAGATCCCTGCAGTGAACAGCTTCAGAGTGACACCTACACTCTGATACTAGTGGAGGTGCTCACAGCCGGGTGACCTTTCATGCTGCTTTCCTGAGCTCAAGGCACAGGCAGAGTGACCACGTCCTGCTCCTCCACTTCGGGTGGGAAGCCTTGGTTCTGACTTTTCTGCCTGCACTGCCGTGTTGGTCATGACATCACCTGATACATGGCCTCTGGAATCCACTGAGAGTAGCAGCAGTGGCAACAGTGTATGTGCCCGTGTTTTCCAAAAGCATCCAATCACCCACATGCATTCTGGGCAGGTCATAGCCCTGGACACTCCAATCAAGGCCACCAGAGGTTGGTCCCCATATGCTGGATGAATAACACTTCTCATCTGGTTGAGGTCTCTTCTGCAACCCCGTCATTCACATAGTAACAAAGGACTGTTCATGTGACTCATCTTCAAGGACAGAGCCTGTCTGTGCTTTTAATACAAATTTTTTTCCCTTTTTTTTTTTTTGGTACCAGGGCTTGAAACCAGGGGCACTCAACCATGGCCACATCTCCAGCCCTATTTTGTATTTTATTTAGAGACAAGGTCTCAATGCACTTTGCAGTTGCAGAGGCTGGCTTTGAACTTGCGATTCTCTTGTTTTAGCTTCCCGAACCACTGGGATTACAGGTTTGTGCCAGTCTTTAATGCAGTATTTTTGGCAGTGAGATTAACTGCAAGCATGAGAGCCGAAGCAACAGGATATCTGCCTGGCTCAGCTAGGATCCTCACCCCAGAGTCTGACAGAAAGTACTTGTCCAGGTGTAGGCATCACCCACTGGGGTTTAGTTACACTCACCTGTTCCTTTGTAATCCTACCCCTTCTGCCTTTTTGGATAGAATGATCTAAGAAACAGTGACCCCCCCCCCCAAATAAAATCCCACTTCCAAAAATAAAAGCCCACTTCCAAACAAGCTTGCTCTCTCTCCTCAGCCTCTGGTGACCTTCTCTTGCCCCCTTTGGGGAGCCTAAGGCCAGGAGACAGGGAAGCTGTCCTGAAGCTCATATAAAAGGTATTTTGTGTCACCCCAAATTCACACGAGTGACTTTAGTTCAGCTGCCTGTGCTGGACGGGGGCGGCAT